CATCGAAGTGAATATTTTCCATATGATGAAGATGGACTGTCGGAGTCCTGTTTCTATGGTAATTCATCATGAAGTGTGGATTTTTTTTATGTGCAGTTTTGCTCTTGGAACTACATGCATACTTATCCATTTGCATCATCAAACATGGCTGAAGGAAGTGCAGTAGATAAACTATTTTTAGTCTGATTAAACAAAACATTTTAATTATGTTCTTCAAGTAAACCTAAAAAATAATCAGAAATTGAAATTTTCAGTGGCGTTTTGGCCCAGGGGCAATGTCTGTCATTGGTGTGGAACCCCAGGGTTCACCTCCTGGGCAAGTTCAAATCCCAGTTATGGAGGTTGGTACCTTCCAGTGTGCTCACCACCCGCAGGAAGGTATAGGGGGGTTGGTACGGTGCAATGTGATTTGGGTCATAGAGACTGCTGCCCCCGCGACCCAGTAACGGATAAGTGGATGAAAATGGATGGATGAAATTTTCAATGGGGTACTGGACGCAAGTACTCCTCCATTTTTACACCATTTCCTACCTTGCTGTTTAGTGATGGGAATTCCAACTCTTTTTAGTGAGCTGGATCATTTGGCTCAGCTCACCAAGAAGAGCCGGCTCTTTCGGCTCCCAAACGGCTCTCCATTTATGCCTTTTATAATTCAGCCAAATTTAGTGCTGTTTTAACTTGTGATCTGTATTTGAACATATATCACTTAAATTTCAATTAGAAATTGCTGTGGCCAATTCCATTTACAGTTGTAAAATCCCTAGTGAGACATGGGTGATGGGTCCATTTCAGGATTGTTAGCTGCATTGTCACTAACACAGCAAACCACTTCGTTTTCAATTTGCCACTCCTTTGCCACTCTTAACAGTTCCTCTGCCAAGTGTGTCTGTTGCTAAACTCAAAACAGTCCAGAAGACAGGCCATTGTTTTATAATTTTCTATAAAGTGACATGTAACTGATATGAAGGAAGTGGTGGTCCTTGATGTCTAGCAATAAGGCAAACTGCAGATGCTTCTTTAACTCTTTCTTGCAGTGAAGCACGTTCTCTGTCATACAGTCTTGGAATGATTTGTTGAGAGAGTGTTTTCCTGCTTGGAGTGACATACGTTGGATTGAGATCCTGTATGAAATTTCTAAACCCTCTGTCCGCCACAATTGAGAAGGGTTGGAAGTCATTCGCAATCATTTTAGACAATTCCTCATCAATGTTCCACAGGGGTACGTCACTTGGCAGCCATCTCTGAAAGAACAAAAAAAATCTAATCTAATCTAATTTAAACTAGGGGTGTATTTCTAAAAGCTAGGAGAAATGAAAACAGCAGAAATACAATTCATTTGGCAGGTTTTCACAAACTTATATATGTGTGTGTGTATATATATATATATATATATATATATATAAATTAGAATATCGTGAAAAAGTTGTTTAATTTCCATAATTCCATTCAGAAAGTTAAACTTTCATATATTCATAGATTCATGGCCCACAATTTAATCAATTTCAGGTATTTATTTGTTTATTTTTTACATAATTTTGGCTTCCAGCTCATGAAACCCACAAAAACAGGATTTCAATGAATTAGAATACTGTGAATTAGAATACTGTTTTTGCAGAAAATAAATAAAGAAAAAAAGAAATCAATCAAAATATGGTACTTTCAAAATGATATATCAATCATCAATACTTGGTTGGGAATCCCTTTGCCTTAATCACTGCCTTGATGCGACGTGGCATTGAGGCAATCAGGCTGTGGCATTGCATAGGAGTTATGGAAGCCCACATTTCTTTGATGCTTGCTGTCAGCTCTTCTTTGTTGTTGGGTCTGGTGCCCCTCATTTTCCTCTTGAGAATACCCCATAGATTCTCAATGGGGTTTAGGTCCGGCGAGTTGGCTGGCCAGTCAAGCACTGTGATGGCATGAGCATCAAACCAGGTTTTGGTGCTTCTGGCAGTATGAGCAGGGGCCAGGTCCTGCTGGAAGATGAAATCTGCATCTCCATACAGATCCTCAGCAGAAGGAATCATGAAGTCCTCCAAAACATTCTGGTAGACTGTTGCGGTGACCTTGGATTTAAGAAAGCAGAGTTTACCAACACCTGCACTGGACATTGCACCCCAAATCATGACTGACTGTGGATATTTCACACTGGACCTCAAGCAGCTTGGGTTCTGTTCCTCACCCGTCTTCCTCCAAACCCTTGGACCTTGATTCCCAAATGAAAGGCACACTTTACTTTCATCGGAAAAGAGGACCTTGGACCACTGGCCAACAGTCCAGTCCTTCTTCTCCTTGGCCCAGTTGAGCCGCTTCCTACGTTGGCTCTGGTTCAGAAGTGGCTTGACCCGAGGAACCCGACAGCTGTAGCCCATCTCCCGGATTCGTCTGAATGTGGTGGTTTTTGAAGCTGTGACTCCTGCCTCAGTCCACTCTTTCTGGATCTCTGCCAGATTCTTGAATCTTCTCTGTTTGAGAATCCGCTGAAGCCCACGGTCATCTCTTTTGCTAGTGCATCTTCTCCTGCCACATTTTTCCCTTCCACTAGACTTTCCATTGATATGCTTGGACACAGCACTCTGTGAACAGCCAGCCTCCTTAGCTATAAACTTTTGAGGTTTACCCATCCTATGGAGGGTATCAATGATGGTCTCCTGGGCAGTTGTCATGTCTGCAGTCTTCCCCATATTGAACCGAACTGAGACAATTGAACCAAACCAAAGCAATTAAATAACACCTGGGGAAACCTGTGCAGGTGCTTTGAGTTTAGTAGATGATTGGTGTGTGACACTCAGTTTAAAACATTCATGCCCTGATGATTTCTTCACAGTATTCTAATTTATTGAAATCCTGTTTTTGTGGGTTTTATGAGCTGGAAGCCAAAATTATGTAAAAAATAAACAAATAAATACCTGAAATTGATTAAATTGTGGCCCATGAATCTATGAATATACAAAAGTTTAACTTTCTGAATGGAATTATGGAAATTAAACAACTTTTTCACGATATTCTAATTTTTTGGAAAGGATCTGTAGTTCACTTTCCTTTCTTTCCTTTGATGCATGGAGGGTAGTAGCAGCAGCAGTAGCAGAAGCAACAGGTGGAGTAGTGGCAGAAGCATGCTAGCCTGCCTTTTTTCTTCCAACTGAACTGCTGGATGCACAGTTCACAAATGTCTAAGTTATTTGTGGACCCTGCTTGATATGAGAGCTTCACTTTACAAATTCTACTGTGCTTTCATGTTGTCATCCAAATGCTACTTATTTTTCTGTTTTCACTCATTTTTGCACCACACAACCTCTCGTCTTCACTCCTCTCTCCTTCAGCGGTATTACCCCCGCCCCTTCCTGCTTTGTGGTATGATCCTTGTCAATCCTCACATGATTGGTTGCACAGCATGCACGTGACACCCGTAGCCAACGCCCGCAGCGCCTGCGGGTACTTTTCCTAAAGAGAAAAAAGTAAAAAAAAAAAAAAAAAACCGACTCACGTCCGTCCGCGGACCGACTCACATCGTTCACTTAAAAGAGCCGGCTCTTTGAACCGGCTCGTTCGCGACCGACACATCACGCCTACTGCCAGTAGCACCTTTGATTGTTGAAAGTCACAGCTATGTTGCAGTCCGTCATTATTAAGCACTGCATGACTAAAACGCCTAGCCGAGACGGAAACAATCAATAGCTAGAGTTAATTTAATAGCGTCAGCAGGGGAAGCTCCGAGTCCTCTAAAATGTATTGAACCAGTTGTACAATGCAAACCTTTTCAACATTCAAGATTTTCAACCCAAAACAAATCTTCTGTTTGATACGGTTATATGGATGTGAGGTATGTGTCATAGACTCACAGACAGGGAGACAGTCAGTTGTGCTAAAACAAACTTGGTTCATTATGTTGCATTTGCTCATCTGCCATTTAACCTCTTTTCATGTGCAGATTCGTAACTTGAACACAATGTTCTCCCGTCTGAGGCGAATGGTGCCCCTTATGAGACCTGACAGGAAGCCCAGTAAAGTAGACACACTAAAAGCTGCTACCGAATATATCCGATTGCTTGCTGCAGTTTTGCAAGATACTGATGATGTAAGTGGTGATGTATCCTGTGTTTTTTTTTCCAAAGCACAGCTCTGCAACTAAACATTGAATCAGAGTTTTTTTCTTTTTCACAGCATGACAGCAGTGGGTCTGATTTCCTAAATAGTGCAATCACTTATGGCCAGACTGAAGGCCTAGGGAATGACCTATGGAGATTGGATGATGTAAGTGCCATTTGTGTCTTCCTCCATTGTACGTGTATTACAAGTGATTTGACAGAACTGAACCTAAAGCCAGAGTTTACCAAGCCTTGAACAAGACACCCCTAAGCTTTTCTCTTCCTTTGTTCACAAAAACAAATAGGCAAAATAACCTGTTGTGTCTAATCTTTAAACAAATATCAGAGTCGTAAGGGAAACAGCTTCCCAAAATGTGTCAGACTCTGCTGCACAAATTATAAGGTCAATTAGGGTCTATGATTAATGGAAACGAAGAGTGTCTTGGGTTCATTCCTTTTACTAATCTTTCTGTAGTTTTTTTTTTGTTAATCTCCTGGTTACTGTGATAATGTTATTCCATCAGCCTGATTATGCCTCAGCTTGTCTGAGTTCAGGCAAGTTAGATTCTTTAAATTTTTGAATTGAGACGTTTCCTGTAATGTTATATTGAAAGCCCATGTTCTACAAATGAGGGTCATTTAATTACATTCTGCTTTTATTCCGAGAGCCTTTGCTAAAGCCTGACCCTGTTACACACACTTTTTTTTCTTGCTCAAAAATGTTGTATGAAATGAAACCAACACAGGAAGAAAGTGCAACTGAAATGACAATTTTACATTTATTAGAGTGCTGGTCTTTGCTGTCTATTGGAAACCGTAGAACTGAATGTTATTATTTTAATCATTGCAGCAGCTGGTACCACACACATTAAATACCTATTGTACATTGCATTTACCTGGCTGCACATGATATAAGTTTAAACCAACAAATGGGGGCATTTGCTTATATTAGTATGAAGGTTCATCTCTTCATTTTGAAGCTTCAGGTGTGCAACGATGAATAACAATCGTGTAAATCTCAGGATAACAAATTGTCTGACCTTTAAAATTGTCCTCTTCGACAGATACTAAACACATCAGATGAGTGCATCGATGACGGATTCATGTTATCCCCTGGCCCAGTCCCAGAGGATGGAGAAATGACCAGGCTGATGTTACAGCACTGTGTGATGCCTGCGTATCAGGTCATCATCCAAGTGGCTCCTGATCAAACTACGGTAAAAAAAAAGTTCTCACTTGTCATGGTTAATTCTTCTGTGATTTAGAGGTTTGCTAAATATTCATTAAGATGATGCATGTTTTCTTGATTAAAATTTCCTGGTTACTGTAAGTTATAATCACGTGATTGGACAGAGGGTAAAAAGATAGAGGTTGAATATGGTTGGTCACAGTGTGACAATGTCAGAGATGGTGTTGAATTTTAGCTGCCAGTCAGGTGGTGGGAAATCTTATGTTTTTATTGTTATGATATATTTCCACAATTTTAAAACCAACCTTGTGTTGTAAAGGAGAAGACTACAATCATGTGAATTTCTGCAAACAATTAATGAATTATTTCCTCCATCCACCAAATGCCTTAATTAGTGTAAAAAAAATGAATTATTGTTGACACTTGAAAATGAGACTTAATCCTTTTAATTTTTAATTTTTATTCTTGGTTTTATCAAAAGTGCTCATCACATCTGTTTAATTGGTTGAAATCAGTTTGTGGCCACTGACATTGTGCCTAAGCGTCATTTCAAATAATAGATGATTGGATAATGTACCAGAATCATCCACTTCTAACTGCCAATCAGCAAGAGGCGAGGGTTGTTGCAGCCTTGACATAAACCCGTCCTGAGAATCGGCTGCTTGTCTGATTGGATAATTGTATGTGAAGTGGTTAAATCATCCTTGCAATGGTCTCATCACCCAGTTCACAAAGCTCATGACAGCTGAACACATGCCTTCAAATGATGACAGTTAAACACTTTGATTTAAGGTTAGAGCCAATCATGCTCATAGACTTTCTATACAACAGAAAATAAAAAAGTAAGATTGTAGAAAGTCTAGTTTCTTTTAATCCCACAGATGTCTCCTCCCTGCTGAGAGATGTAAAATGCAAATGGATTTTCAAGATGGAAACCTGTTTTTTTAACAAGTTTTAAATTAAGTGATGTCTATGTCCCATTGCTGAGTCTTTCCACAATGGCTGGGGTTGGTAATTTGTTAATTCCTTCTTAGTACAAAAACGTTTTAGAAAGATAATTAAGGGGAAATTAATTGCACAATTTCTTGAAGCAGAATATCAACTTTTAATTTAGTTTATATATTTTTTTTTAATTTCTTCTTCTTTTTCTTTCGGCTTTGTCCCTTTTTCAGGGATTGCCACGGCAAATCATTGATTTCCATCTCTCCCTGTTCTCTGTATCTTCTACTCTGACTCCAACTATCTGCATGTCCTCCCTCACTACATCCATATATCTCCTCTTTGGCCTTCCTCTCTTTCTCCTACCTGGTAGCTCCATCTCTAACATTCTTCTACCAATGTATACACTGTCCCTCCTCTGCACATGTCCAAACCATCTCAATCTGGCTTCTCTAGCTTTTTCTCC